AAACATAAGTTATGTTAACCCTATTTTATCTTATCTTCCCCAGATGTGAGCTCTGGTAGTTCTATGGACTGGGCCTACAAAAATGGCATTCCCTATGCATTTGCATTTGAGCTGCGTGATACTGGTCATTTTGGATTTTTACTTCCTGAGGCTCTCATCAAACCAACTTGTACAGAAACCATGCTAGCAGTTAAAAATATCACAATGCATCTGCTGAAGAAATGTCACTGAGTATTATAGCTAGGGTCTGGAATGTGTCGTTTTACTTCAAGTGTGTTTTAAATAGACACTGCTGAATCACTGCAGTTCTAAAATAGGTATCACTTTAAAATTGTAGCTACTATTAGAGAATGTGGTACTTATTCTGTGTTGGATGGGTTCTACTCTAAAAAAGTTTCAGAAAGTTTGTGTGTCACCTAAATAACTTGTTCACAGCAAAATACTCTGTTCTTATTAGTGATATATACTCAAGCCTTGATTCTATGCCAGTGAATTTAGTAGCAACAGGATCAGATCCTGCTTCCTGTTTTGGGACCAAATTTTGGCAGGCTCCACTTGCAAGGTCATGCGTGGCCAAGACTGTGGGGCAGAATTTATCTGCCTCTAATCTTATAGTTTCCTTCATAAATAATAGTGCCAGCAAGAGCCATGGAGGGACATTCCAGATGGGTATCTGTGGATCCAGGGACATGGTTTGTATGTTCACTCACATATGGTCTCCTGACCCATTGTTGCCTTTCTGTGTAGCATTACATGTTCCTAATAATAAAGACTTATGAATGGTAAATGGTTGCTGCTGGACAGACTGCAGGTGGATATTGATCTAATTTTTTTTTTTTTTGCACTTTGGAAACCTTTTTATATGGTGCCAGAATTTGAGGTGCACTTTTCTTTTAATTATTCAGAGACAGATGTTTTAAAATATATAAACACAAGTGGAATAAAGATCAACATATTACCATTTTTAAATATACCATTTGAAAGATTTGTAAGAATTTTAATGAGGTATGACTGAGAAAGCACCAATCTTTACCAACTGAAGATCTGGTCCTTAAACTATCACTTCAGTGGTAACTGCAGCTTTTATTTAAGGTTTCTTAAGTAATGAGGGTTCTGTGGCTACTTGGCTATTCTTGAAAATCAAGTTTTTTGCGTGTTTTATATGAGTGATAATCGATTCTTAACTGAGTGGGAGACAAAAATATGGAACTTTTACAGCTGAAAGGTTTCTAGTGAATAAGTACCATAGTTGAAAAAACAATGCTGAAAGCACAAAGTGCATAACGTATAAGGGATTTTTTGATATTTCCAGACTATGCTTTTGTATTATGTTATATTTGGAAAAATATTTTTTATTTTAGTATTTTTGTTTTGAGTTTCAATTGATGCCAGAAATTGTTAAATAAAGCACATTTGTTAATAAAATCTTCAAAGTGAAGTATTTCTTCTGTATTGGTCCTCTTTTAGTTCTTTGTAATGACATCCCTTAATCTATTATATTTACTTTAGTCAAACTCCTTGGAATAGGGACCTGTCAGTTTTATTTGTCTCTAAGTCATCATTGTTACCTATAGTTAAAAAGCAGTATTCGGAAAGTCAAAAAACTGCTAGAAGCCAGAATCTGACACACCCTAAATAGAACCATATTCAGACAGTAGCTTCCCTTTACCTAGTCCATAGTTTTCATAGCATCAGGATGGCAAACTATGGTCCTGTATATATGTGTGTGTGTGTGTGTGTGTGTGTGTGTATGTGTGAAAGGTGTTTTGTAAATTCCCTTTGAGGATTAGAACTCTCCAATTTCTCAGTTCTAATTCTCAAAGGGAATTTACAAAACACCTTTCATAGATGAGTCTACAAACTTCACTTCATCAACCTACTGGATACAAAAAATCATGGACAAAATATAGACACTGGATTTATGACACATAACCTGTCTAACATCTGACACACCACGTAACCTCTCTACTATTTCCCAACTATATTTTTATAATCAGATCTACATTCTCTTCTCTCCATCCCCACCTCCCAAATCTCTCACCCATAGACTGTCTCAATTTGCATTTTCACTGACTGGCTTTCTCTCATGCCTATTGGCTTCTTTTCTATTCCATCCAGGAAGAGCACAGACCAACTACAGGCACTTCCTCAGCCTGATGAAAGGTGTTTGTACCCAAAAGCTTGCAAAGAAGAATTTTTCCAACTACAGTAAAAGTTACGCTATCTAGCACCTTACGAGCCAGCATGCTGTATTAACCAGCATGCTGACTTGTAAGGGAAAAGCAAAAGTGGAAGTGCCCACCATGGCACTTCCAGTTTCACTAAGCCCCCATGGCCTGGGGCAAAGCAGCTTGTGTGGTGCCCCCCTCCCTGTTCCTCAGGGCCCGCAGGGTCTGCAGGAGGGGCAGTGATGCCCCAGGCTGCTGCCGCGTCCAAACAGGCAAAGACACTTGTTCGGGCCGCTCAGTTAACCGGCATATTTTGTTATCCAGCACTCCCCATTCCCCAGGGGTGCCGGATAACAAAGCTTTTACTGTATTTTAGTTGGTCTACTAAAAGATACTGGATTTACCCAAAGAACCTTGTCTTCCTATGTCCTTAGACCAACACAGCTACAACCTATATCTCAGATACAGTATAGTATATGCATATAGGACTATTACTGTATAGGCACTACTATCTAGCAAACCACAGATCTACTTTATCACATTTACATCTGGAGGTTAAATTACTGTAGATTTGTTTTCTGTCTAGAAGCAACTTTCCTGATTCTGGTTTTCTTTTTCTTTTCATACTCAGTATAGTTGTAGCATGTTTGGTTTTGTCTGAGATTTTGGATTCAGCTTTCTTCAGTTCAGTTACTAACATACATAATATAAATTATGATAGAGACACACGTTCATCAACATGATTAATAATTTGCCCTTTTGCTGCAGATTGGCTTATATTTGAACTTTTTTTCCATTAGAAGAATGTCTCAGTTCTAGCTCTAAAATTTACAGAAAGTGAGAGGCAGTTCTGCAGCCTGAATTCAATTTCATTATTATTGGCTCTTGTTTCCTGAAAAGCCTACAGATTAGCTCAGACTTGTTTGATTAAAACAAGTGTCTGTGCTGGTTTAATTAAAATCCAGAGGGCAGAATCACTCTGAACACATCTATACACTGGTAACCTCTTTTCACCTATGAGCACTATCACAAGTCTGTTGGGGAAAGAAGTAACAGTCTTTTTCTGTACAGAAATTGTGGATGGTAACAGTAAAGGCACACATTCCACCCAATTAGCCTTGGTGGTGATTAGCTACTGAATATTCAGGTAACAAGGGCAAAGACAAAAGTTATGTTTGTGGCACAATCTGCCCCTTGAAAGCTCTCTACAGCCATGCCCTTACTTTAAAAGTCCCTGATGATGCAACAATCTGAACCCTCATTAGGTGAGGATTCAGATAAAGGCACTCCTAAGTGGAAGACGGGAGCAGAGCTCCAATTCCACGCCCTCCAGGGCAGGCTGGCTAAACCCCAAACAGAACTCCATCCCTCCCCTCTCTCCCTCCCATTCTGAAGGCAACATCAGAGCTGGGAGGTGGGAGGAGCAGGGCTAGGGGAGAGCGGCTACAGACACGCAGCTGCTCCAGACTGGAGCTCAAATCTCCCAAATCCCTGGACCCAACAGCAAATGTCTGTTGTGTCAGGGGAAATGCTGTAACTCATGACGCTTCCTGTGAAATGCCATGAGTTACAGCAGGGAGGTGCACATCTGTCAATGCCCAATATTCAGCTGCTAAGGCCATTTGAGGGAGGAAAGAAAGGGCAGAGAGAGAAAGACTGTAAAATTCCCAGTCAGGAAATGGTAACTTTTAGCACTGGATTGTATCTAACCCAAGGAAAGAATAGCATGTAGCTGAGCTACTCAGGAGCAAGGCAAGAATTGGGTTGTGATTAAGAGTCAGGATTTGGTTCTTGATTCAAGGAGGAAGTAATCTTTGCCACCACTTCTGCTGAGGGAGTTTGCTTCTGTATTTCACTGGGGAGAAGAGCCATTGGGCTTTGACTGTTAATAATCAAACTGAACAGGAAAGAGTGTGTACCAGTCTGAGAGAAAATGCTGTTGCACCCATTGCATATGATAATGCAGAGGGCTACTATATGGAGTAAGGGGCTTCACAAAAAATATAGCAGGTACTTTGCATACCTGAATGAGCTACTTGGTGTTAAAATATGATTTGTGGTCATTTATGCAGTCTCACTCTGCCTGAAACAACTCAACTGTATCATATCTGTATAAAAGGTGAGCTGTTGATTGACAACAAAAATAATTGAATGATTGGAAAATACAGGTATTCTTTCTTCTCTGAATAAGTTTGTCCAAAATTGTAGATTCACTTGACTAGTTCAGAAAAAAATGCAAATATTTTTACATTTATTTAGGATTTTTTCACCCTTTTGTCACCATCTCATATTTTTAACACCCCATTTTATGTGCATTAGACTAAATCCTAAAATCTATATAGAACTGCAGAATTGAAAGAGACCTCAAGGGTCATCTAGTGACCTCTGCACCAATGCATTATTCCTGCACTATTCCTAAGCCATCCCAGATAGATGCCTATCCAGCATGTCTATTTGAAAACAATAAAAGGAGCCCCCACAACCCCCATAGGCAGCTTGTTCCATTCTCCTGCTTCTTTTGCAATTAGGAAGCTTTCCTAAGATTCGATCTAAATCTGTTTTGCTGTAATTTAAATCCATTGCTGCATATCCTGCCCTCTGTGACAAGTGAGAACAATGTTTCTCTTTTTTTCATGGTAGCTTACAAACATTTGAAAACTGCTATCATGTGTCCCCTTCATCTCCTTTTCTGCAAATTAAATATTCCTATTTCCTTCAACCTTTTGTAACCCAGGCGCACCCAAGTATGTGCTCCCCTCTCCAAATAAAAGGCATGCGGAGCCAGGCAGGAGTGCTGTGAGAGGGGTATGCAACCACTGTTCCCTCCGCTCTCTATAGTCAGGCCAGGACAAAAATAGTTTAAGTATATACAGGTTTATTAATATACATATACATATATACACACACACATACACACACACAAACAAAACCCTAGAAAATTATACTACCCCCAATGACCAGCACAGGTAAGTAACTGATCTGAAACAGGTAAGCTCAGGCAAGTCCAAATAACCAACAAGTAAATATAGGTGAATAACAAATAAATATTGGCAAACCACAGGG